TACAATTTACTTTAACTTAAGAAAATAATATAATATAATAGGAAAAGGTTTATAATTTTTGAAGCTCCACAATTCATTGAACAACAAAAGTGAATACCTAATCCTTTAAATATAAATATGCTTTTAATACTGATAAATAATATTTTTGCATAAGGATAAATATGGCAATATTAAAAAATAATAATTTTTCTTAAAAAAAATACTTAATTTGTTCAAAAATTAACCTTTTATTTTTCACAATATTTTTTTAAAAAAATTTGATAATTTCTGCATCACGGGATGATAAAAAAGACATCTATTTAAAAAAAAATTGCTTTTAAATATAAATACATTAGTTTAAATTGAAAATACAAAATAACTGAAAAATGCATTAACAGTTTTGAAGGGCATAACATCAGTTTCAGTTACTGACACTGGTGATGTATCACCCCTATCCTAAGTCATTTCATGATACCGATAATATTAATATGATGTCACAACTACATATAAATCTGAATCATCATTTTTTGACTTGTTGAATTCATACCATCATAACTTCAAAGTTGTAGATGATAATTTATTTATCATTTTTTTCTGCCTTTTCCAAATGGTTTTTCATATTCTGATATTTTTAACACAATGCAGACAACACACGAATTTTAAATTTGGGTTATCACCTCTTCATCCATTCGTTTCATAGAGATTGTCATAAATCCAGGCATGTATTTAAAATTTAAGGTGTTGCTTTTTGACAAGCTCCATTCATGAAACTTTTTTGGCTGTAATTTCTAGTTTTATCGCAGTTTCCGTTTGTTTTTGTTTTTCAATTTCGATAATTTTAACAAGCTTTATAGCTAATGAATTTCGTATTTTAATAAAAAAATAAATACTTTTTGATGAACTCGATTTGCAACAATTCATCGTAAATTCACTCTGTTTTCAGTTATCTTCTTTAGCTGTCATTACATTTACATCCAATTTTTAAATAAATTATTAAACTGTTACTCTTTCAGAATAAGATTTTTTAATGTTATAATTAAGATGAAGTTAAATTAGTGTCGCTTTAAAGCCCTGCAGATTTTAATCACACAATGCCCTTTTTCGAAAGGTTGCTTGACTTGAATTAAGCCAATTGTTTTTTTTTCTTCCCCTTACTATTTTTGGTTTAAACTACTAAAGTAACCGGGCATTTATCAAAACAAAATATTTTTCTAAAACTGTGATAATGACAAAATCATAACGTTGTTAATTACAGAGGTATGATTGGATATTAGAATCAATATCAGACAGCAATTTGAATTTTTAAAACTTACAAACAAAAGTTTTAAACTCTGGAATTATAACCGATTTTTCAACTTTTACAGCAGGATATATTTTTATCATTACTTAGTACTATTCTTAATTCTATGGAAAATTCCAAGGAAACAGAAAGTTTTGCATAATTTTCGAAAAAGAATTTATTTTAAAGCCAGTTAAAGCACAGCTGGGATGTTTTGAAATATGACTAATATGTTTTGGATGATTTGGGGCTAGTTCCATATGAAATAAGGTGAATTGAAAAGCTATAAATAATAACAATTTAGCTGTTTTGTAATAAGTTCCATTATAAAATAAAAGTAAAAAATAGACTTTAACATTAAAAAAATATAAATAAATAAATAAAATTCAGTAGAAAAATATCCATATATCAAAGTAAAATTGTACTGCAAAAATGTAACTTAGTATAAATAATAAATTTACTTTAAATGTTAAGAATCATAAAAAAATATATAAAAACAAATTGAAAAATAATATATTATTAATCTAATAATATCACTTGATAAATGTGATGATAGTATATCAAAATGATATACTATATCAAATTTAACAAATGTTTTTATAAATTTGTTTTAAATTTTGTTTCAAGCTAAAACAAAATACGTAAAAAAATATATATCAATATGAATTACAGAAGTTGAGGTTAATGATTAAATAAATGGAAGAAGTTTTTTATGTTTACTTTGCATATTAAACATTAAGGAAGGTTTCAGTTTACATCTTTCTGCCTTCTGTATTAAAGGATCAGTATACAGGGGTCTGCCCAGGCCTAGTTTACTACTGTTTAGCGGTACCTTCACTAATTCAACTTTACGAAAAACAATAGTTTCACAAAATACTTTTTCTTAAAATTTTATTTTTGACTAATTTTTATCAAATTATGTCTAAATTTTCACAAAATAGGTACCTCTCATAAAAACCTAGACAGACGCCTGGTATAGTAAACAGCTTAATAGTGTAGTATAATTTCTTTTTTGTAGTAAACGACATATGGAAATGAAAACATAATTGTCTGAAAAGCAAGTTTTATTCTAAAAAATTAAGTCAAACTTCTGTAACTTAAGACATGAAAATATCTTTCAAATCATAGTGTCATTATATAACTTGTAGTAGGTTGTATATAACTTGTTGTAGGTCATATCAGCTGAAGTTCTTATAATTTTGCTCTTTGTTGCAGCATTAGACATCTGATGTATCAATTTTAGCTACATTTTTACTTAATAGCTAATGAATACTTTATAACTAAATCAGGGTTGGGGTTTTGGACGTCCTAAACTGGTTTTGGACAGGACACGTGAGTTTTACTGTCTTAAGCTGGGTTTTACTGTCCTAAACTGGGTAAAACTGTCCTAAACTGGGTAATACTGTCCTAAACTGTCTTAAAGTGTCCAAAACCTTGAACTTTGGTAAAAGGTAAAAATTCTATAGGTGTAACCATTGTACACATAATAATTACATGTATCAATAAATATTTGATATTTTTTATACAATTTACAATAACTTATTAAAAGAAAATAATATAATATAATAGGAAAAGGTTTAAAATTTTTGAAGCTCCACAATTCATTGAACAACAAAAGTGAATACCTAATCCTTTAAATATAAATATGCTTTTAATACTGATAAATAATATTTTTGCATAAGGATAAATATGGCAATATTAAAAAATAATACTTTTTCTTAAAAAAAAT